TGTTGATTTATCAGTGATGTTTAGACAGCAGAATGTTACATCATGTCTTCACATGTGACAACTTCCAAATAATTATTATTTCAGAGACACAACAAACAACTTAGAATTAATGAGCCATGATCCACGTGTGCAGTCTTATGCGCATCTGGACCACGCGCTGAAATTCATTTCTTAGGTTATACTTAACTATTTTCGTTTATTACTTACCTTCGAAAAACGCGTCCATTTTAATGCCATGGCATATGCACGTCTTTAGTAAAAATTGACTGATGATAATAAATCGTGACCGCGCACTCTGCGGCCGTTATGTGAATAAAAGTAATTAATTAGACTGCTTTCGTTTTAAAGTTAAGACTACAGAAATGCAGAAGCTGGTCGCCTTTAAATTTGGCTATGTAAATGAACCCAGTCCCAGGTTGTTGTAACATACTTTATTAATTTAAATTGAACTATGACATGGCGGCTTACGGTAGAAAGTATGTGGCTACGTTAAAAATTTGATCATTAAATAACCATTATTTTGACAACCCATGAGTGTTCATCTTTCCAATTTTCAATTAATCGTCTAGTTGACAACAATGTTGCCTCATCAACAAAATGACGATGATACGAGTTTAGCAAAACATTATTTACAATAACATTCTAAAATTACCTTTACTATGTGTTCAATCGTTTAACATTCTGTGTGTCCTGATTCCAAAATTCAAGCAAATCCGTTCAGTATTGAAGGACTTATGAGTGCTAAGTTGCGCGAGTCCGCAGGCGAGTTCGCAGGCGGGTCCGCAGAAGTGTCGATTCAGTTGACCACTTTAATTAAGGTGACAAAATCAAAAGTATATTATGGCTTGGAAATTTCTGTATGTAGACCTCAAGATACCTCACAAGATGACAAGTACTACAAGCTCGCTTAGGAAATCCAAGCCCATGCCATGCTAGAAGCACCACTTTTTGACCCAGCACCGTTCACCCGCAATACACCATGTAAATGCACTGAGCTTCCTCAGACGCAACTCCTCTCGGTGTCGGCATCACTGCGCTGACTGTGGTGCTAACAACTGCGCTACTGTGTCTACCATGTACAAATTGTACATCCATGTCCTCCGAGCAAACCTGGCATAGACAAGCTTGTAACCCAAGACTTCGCCAGAACCGGATAGTGACCATCAGGCAAGCGTTCAGGATCGTATTAGCAGGAGAGAACACTACAATTTTTTGACGTGTTATGCTTGAGGTGTTCATTCTGAAGTTATTGAGACGCGTATTTATCTAACGCAGTGCCTATGAACATGCATACCGAGATAACAAATTTTTCCACTAATGGCAGTACAACTTCAAATCGATATAACGTCGAGTAAATAAAATAAGCTCGCACAAAAATTAAGTGACATTTCTCAAGAAATAAGGACATATGCCATTAGAGTCTTTCTTATCTCTGCTCTATGAACAGCAACATTCTCTCAGGTTTCAGCAGACAATTCTTTGATAGCCGAAGTAATGAGTGCCCCGAAAATATCTCCTAAACAAGGTGGTACCTATCATTACTTAGCAAGTCTCTGAGTAAGTAAGAATGATAAAACAGAAATATTTGCTCCTGACCTCGACATTTGTCTTACTGAGCTTCCTGAGGCTTGAGCCCACGGCTAGCTCCTCTCATCTCGATGCCACCACCACTAATTAATGTGCAAACAGATTAATGTGAAACGCAAAATTCCCTATCATAATAATATTAAGTAAATCAGGTTAATAAGATTACAACATTATCTATGAGTATATTACAGTATTGACTAACACAGGAGCCACGAAGTTATTCCGCAAAATGCAGAAGGTTTCAATCGTCACTCATTGCCCAAATCAAACATTAATCCGTCCTCACAACTAGCAGAAGATTTCAAATAACCAGCGTGCAGAAAATGACGAGAAGAAGAACAACGTTTGCAATTGGCGTAGCAAATTAAGGTAGCATCCATAGTTGAACGGCAACAGAAACAAAATCGGCGGTACAGCGGGCCGCTTACTAGAGACTTCATCCGTTTGCTCGGAAGAATAAGTAGTGAAAAGCAAATAATCCTGCCTACCTAACATCTTAACTCTTCTTACAGCTCTGCTGTCTAACAAGCTCGGAAATCACGCACTAGGCACTCTGGAACAATCTCCATATGAATGTAAAATGCCAACAGAATTCTGACGAGCGGCAATGGTAAGTGCTTGAAGAGCTATACGAGCAACCCATATCGTACAACAAAAACATCATTCACAGGAAACGTATCATACATAGAGATGGATTAGAAGAATATAATCCGAAAAGCAAAGCGTGTTTGTCGCAAACTGCTGTTAAATTCTCAATAAATTACAGGTGAAAGTTGTAACAATGATGCAGTCACGACACAAACCCAGGTTCCGATTTAAATGTCAACAAATCGGTATACTAACAAGGCCATCAGCCCAGCGAAGATATAGCTCGAAATTTATTCTTAAACCCAAAGAATGGACCAGGATAGTGATAGCCTGACGATAAACTACCACGCCATATTGTTCATTTGCGTACGGCAAACATGGATGTAATAAAATATTATCTCAAAGGTCCGAGATTTATCGCCAGATGCAGCATAACAACATAGTGTGATCGGGAGTGTTACAATGCCGAGTTACAATTTGTTTAAGCAATGAGACGAGAGCCTATATACAAAACTGGAGACGCGAGACATCGGTGAGGGATAGCAGGCTAGCTGAATGTAATGAGACGAGAGACTATACATCACAGGATATGTGAGACATTGGTGTGGGAGGGCTGTTGCTCACGCTGACAGTCGGTTGAGTGACGCACAAGTGTAATTTCTACGACACTGACAACTCCTAGGATAAGTACTATCAATAATATCAACATTTATACAAAGCTTTAGAATAAATGATATAAGCTGCAGGTGTGAAACTTCTGCTCAAGTGAGCGATAAATCATTTGGTAGGCTAATATTCCACTCGTAGCTTATGCTTAAATCGTATCACTAGAGTAAAGCAAAAGAGGAAGGCTGCCTGGAAACTTATGGTGGAAAACAAGTTATCGCTAGCTACGTCAAACTGAGCATACGTGAGTTATATATATATGTACATTTCACGTATACAACTGAATATACGTGACGTGCCTTCAAGGTCTCGCACGAGAATACCTTTAAGCTCGACTCGTTTAAAAAAAAACATATTTTTAAGATAGGAGCTTCGCCTTTCACAGGAATGCGTCTAAACCTTAACAGTTTGCAACACAAACCTTGAAAAAGTATGCCGATACTTCAAATCTGTTTACTAATCCGAAAAGATCCCAGCTGACGTTTATTGAAGTGATGTAACCGTAACGGGCACAGTAATGCCCGTTATGTGACCATAACGGGCATCAAGTGACCATAACGGGCACTCAGAAAAAGAATAGGTCATATTGTCCGAAGTGAAAATTTTTTAACCACAACATATGAGCCGAGAGCGGACATGCGCCCTGTTGTCGGGCCTATCTTGGGTGACCCACACTAGGAAAAGAAGTGAATAAAATTCGTGGATAATCTCGCTCATTTCTCTGGGTGTTCATTTGAACCCACCCGATTGAACTCAAAGTAATAATAATAAAAATAAACTTGTAGTGCCAAATAACATATATGCTTTTGATGCGTGCATCTGCAGGATCTTTTTAAGAGTTTAACCGAATTATGGAGTGTTGACAAGAGTTTTTATATATAAGCTAAGTGAATGTAGGAATAAGTCAGCAACAATAACATAGCATAAGAAGCAGACCCTTAATAAAAATTTTCGGTTTCTCTTCGGCGATGCTGGAACGAAAATGAAGTCATTCGTTAGCACAAAAAAGTGCACAAGATATTTTCATAGCTCCACGCAGCAGTATTATTAAACTTATGTACATATATTTACAGCTTAGAAAGGCCTATGTGGGAACATACCGAACATGATTGTGAAGTAGAATAGTGCACCGGATCCAATCAATTCCTTACTTTAATAACTTGAAATTATTCATCAATACGTTCAGAGTTGTGCAAAATGTATCCCTTGTCAGATGTGGCAATAATTTTATGAGAATTATCTAATGCTGTCATTTGAAAACCTTTTAAATTTTTCCTAATAACTTGAGGGAAACTCACAATTTTCAAATATTTATCAAGTTTATTGCTACTGGATCCTCTCAAAAATTTGGACAGTCGCTTTTACTATCAAACAAAATTTAAAAAAAATTGTTATCCTGTTTCATAATAATTTTAAAGTGTAAGCAAATTACATGAAGACGGAAGTTGATGTTATACATAGAGGAAATGGAGGTATAACATAAAACGGTTACCTAAAAAAATATATATTTTGTGACGTTTTTTTCGTGACATATTAGTGATACGATAAAAAACCAAAAAGTGTTATAAAATTCGAAAGCGAATCACAAAAACCATGATTCTGCTTCGGTAAGAATGGTATATTTGGTGGTAGATTTTTCAATTTCTTATCACGACAATGCATTTTTTACCGAAATTGGAGCATTTTTAGAGGACACAAAGTTAAATTCAGGACTTCCTATAATAACCTTACAGCACTCAGCACCACAACGCAAATATTGACCCGAGTTACCGTGATTTATCTGCTGAAATAAACTGTCTCATGTGACTTGTATAAATAACGTACGTGGTGGGAATCATGACGATATAAATGACAGAACTTATGATGATATAAATGACAGAACTTATGATGATATAAATGACAGAACTTATGATGATATAAATGACAGAACTTATGATGATATAAATGACAGAAATCATGATGATATAAATGACAGAACTCATGATGATATAAATGACAGAACTCATGAGGATATAAATGACAGAACTCATGATGATATAAATAGTGACAGATATCACGATTATGATATGAATGCTAAGGAGCTCATGATGACGAGATACATGAATTGTAATGATATAAATGATAACAATATACATCAAATGACCCGCACAAGAACCGTTTACGTACAAAGCGTCGAATTTCACAAGTCGCTTGACCTTTGGTTCAGAAAATTGGAAAACCAAAAACATTATTTATTAACAAACATCTTTATTAAGGACAAAACTATAATCCAGACATGAATGATCACATCATCTCGGTAAACCAAATAGAGAGAAATCAAACCGTTTATCATAACCAGGCATCCTAAATCAGCTGAGTAAACTGCTAACAAAAAATGTGTAAATGTTAACAGATTTTCAACATTTTAATTAATATAATCCTATCGTATATGTCGAGAACGGATCAGTTAAGCACAAATATGGGCCACTCAATTTGTACAGACGTTTTCTTAGTTGACGAATTGAATACCTACATATATCGTCTAAGAAAAAACATTGCAATATTAGGGTCGGAAATATTATTGTTATATTATTAACTTCAAAGAGCAGCAATACTTCATCTCAAACCAGAATGATGGTAATCTTTCAGCTCCACTTAGTTATTTTAATTATTACCATTATGAATTATTAAAAAAACTCTTAAGCCATTTGGTTCAGCGTGAACAACGGTAGACACTGGAGTCAATAATGAATATCATGAATAATAACCTCAATAACCAACAAGAAAAAATCGTACATGATGACGAAAGAAGAGATTTGCATTTTCCAATTTCGGGGAATAATAACCAGAGATTTAAACTATCGATAGTTTACATATACATAAGATATAAATGGGTAGCTGTCGGTGCCTGCAGTTGTAGGTACGCAGTTGTCAGTACTCTGTTGTCAGCAGCTGACAGTGATGGGTAGGTACTAGCACGATATTTCTCATCGTGAATGTACAAGAATTTTTTCGAGATTAAGATAATGCATAAGGCTTACAGGAGTCTCACTTTAGCTGCCCTGGTCACGCTATAAGGTACACATTCACGAAAAAACATAATAGTCATATAAATAACATGGAAAAATACTATACAATTTAAACCTCACAAAAAATAAATGGTTCGCAAATTGTCAACTTGAAGAATAAATTTCCATCACATGTAAATGTAATTACACTGTGGTTGGAGGAAGCTGGCATGCTGGGCTGCATCTCACTCTTAATATTCCTGATAACTTCGAATAAGAAAAGGTTCGATCACCAAATATGGTACAGAATATTATTTGCTACATTTCCTCTAAGCATATAATAATATAATTAGGTTGAATATCATTGAAGATAAATTAAAGAACTTAGATGCAACATAGGTCGGTGACAAAAAAAACATTCAAGAAAGCACACAAAAATCGAGCACTAATAGAAACGTTTTTACAATCATACCTAAACTATAATATATCAACACCGAGCTAAACAAAAAATTGAAGAAGATAATACATAAAACTTGATGACCGCTTGAGATATAAAAATCTTTCCATAAACTTGTATGACATAATTCATGTGCCGTAGTTTTAACAGTAAACTTGGCCAAGACTAACATCATAGTCTGGGGTGAAATCCACGTATACAAGAAACCTTGTCACCTCGTACCCACAAGAATATACAACTTACACGACATGAAATTCGTGTTATTAAACCAATTCTGGTAGCTCAACACAAGCGTAAATTGACGCAAGAAGTGAAGGCCATCTGAAGAAAAGCTAAACTTAAAGAAATCAGTATTGAATTTTCGAAAAATCAAAAATTATATATCAACATTATTGTTTGCGAGTATGAAGAATTTCGGAGCTCCTGGCTCGACATAATCACCATGTTTTTATCGATAAAATGAGCACTAGCATTTTAGTTCAATACTAAAATACAATCGTTTGATATGAATACAATACTTGACTCGGCAAATAAATTAATCATGGATAAAAAGTGGTGACATTAACACAAGAACCCAAGCGGTTAATTCAAGACAATCATTCAAACCGTGTACAATGCACATCAGAAGGTAATATCACACGCACCGCACGTTGAAAATCTGAAGACACAGACGTAATTTCGTCAAACTTAATGTTAAATCGATCTATTATCGAATTAAATACCAATTGAGCAAGGGCATGGTAGAACGGATGTTTCGGAATTGCATTCTATTCGCTTACTTTTGTAGGTCACGATTGACAACAAGTACCACCATCAATGACGGGTTTCGATGATAGGATTTAAATGACTGATTAAATGAAAAGTTTATGAAACTGACGTTTGGTGAGACGGCGCCGGCATGTAGGACATTGCTGGGTGCGGCGCACGGCCTCGTCCAGACACACCTCACAGAAGACGTGACCACACACGGTCGACACGAGGTGCTCACGACGTTCCTTAATGTCCATCAAAGTATCGCAGCATATTGGACATGATATCTCAAAGTCATTCCCTGAAGACGACGAAGCTTTGGAATTGAAGACGACGAAGCTGGTGCCGGCAGCCGTTGGTGGGCCAGACACATCACGACGAAGATCATTTTGTGCTGAGTTATTATTAGAAGGACCTGCAACACCAGCGGCCGTCGGGTTTGCAATGGAAGATGAGCCTTGCATATTGATGGACTTAAGACTAGATGAAACATAAGGCCGTGTGCTGCCGCTAAATGGAAACAAACTTGCACTTGCGCACTTGGTGGTGACCGATGGAGGCAGGGGAATTGAAGCTCCAGCCGCGGTGGCCATGGGATTAGTGAAAGCGCTGGAAGGGACAGGGTCATCTTCTTTGACAGACTCTTTCTTTGACAGACTAGCCTCAGCAAAATTAGTCATTTTTAGAGCCAAGTCAACACCATACACACTTTCCCTCATCCTCTCATAGAGAATGACTTCTTTATCCATCCAACATCTATATCTACCATCAGCTTCCCTCTTGTAGTGCTCAATGTTCTTCCCTCTTGTAGTGTCATCGCTGTCAGTGTCGGTGAACGGCTTACGTAACTCATAGTCAGTAATGGCAAGCAGTCTTTTGCACCGCAAGTACTGATAATACCGAGCCGAAGTCTCTTCTGCTGTATCTCTTGATGAGCCTTCCAAACTGAAGGTGGGTTTCCTTGTAAAATCATCCTTCCTTGTAAAATCTTCCCTAGGAAGATCATCACAACAATCGTCAAGTTCTTTTAGAGCCGAGTCAATATCTGCCACAACATGCCTCATCCACTCACAGAGCCTGCCTTCTTTATCCATCAAACGTCTACGTCTACGATCAGCTTCCCTCTTGCAGTGCTCAAAGCTGCAGTCATCGCTGTCAGTGTCGGTGAACTGCTCACGTGAATCATAATCAGCAATTCGTCGTTTGAACTGGATGTAGTTATTATAATACCGAGCTGAAGTCTCTTCTGCTGTATCTCTTGACGAGCCTGCCGAACTGACGGTGGGTATCCTGGTAAAAATTGAGGTCTTGCCGTCAGACTTTGATGGCAAGGTCACAGAGTTCTCATCCCACGGCTTACATAATCTTTTCTTGCGCAAAGGAAATGCATGAGGATCAGTCTTGGATACCTTTTCTGGCTTCAGGACAGGTGATGTATTATAAACTTGATCATCAGATGCCTTGGAAGTTTGACTTTCCTTTTGATCAGATTGTGATGGAGATTGCATCATTGGAGCTTCACAGGCAAACTCAGTTCTTTTCATTTTTTTGAAACAGTTACCAGCATCAATATCAGGTAGTTCATCTGCTGTAGAATCATCATCCGAATTATTATTAGCCATTCTTTCCGCATTCTTTGGCTTTTTCGACATATTAGTGTAGCCCTATTTTTGTAGCGCGAGTAGCCAAACCGAAGAGCACTGCAGCAATTGAGGCGAGGCGAATTCGCGGCGTCGCTTTACATGGGGTAGCGAAGTATCGTGGATACGCCCACCACTCAAAAGTTATTACAGCAAAAATGTTTTATTCAAGATTCAATGCAACAAAATAAATGAAAAGCCAAAACCATAAATTGAAATAATCCAGTCAGTGTTGCTTTGTAATATTGATGCAGAAATAAAATGCATTGCGGAAAATGTGGAGTCGATAGCAGAGCAAAACCAAACAGCTTTGCCCTGACTCACAAAATTCACGTGAAAACTAATGTTGAAGCTTTGATATTTTTGGCGTGTCAATAATTTGAATCCCATAAACAACATAGCTCAAATGAATGGATACATAATTGAGATATTTTATATTCTTCGACACTATTTGCATACATTTTTATTATCACTCGCTTTTCAACATTTGGGGGCAGCAAAGTTCTCTTCGCTCACCAGGCACTAGTGACGGAGCTATAGACATTTTGGGATTGAATTGACAGGAATTCAAAAATATTTGGAGGCTGTTTTGGTGCGTATGTCCCGAACCCCTGAAATACAATCGTGTCGAGAAATTATCTTGAAGTCAAATTTTAATTTAGTGATGGAATCATAAAAAACACAGAAAAGAGGAAGGGGGGACCTAGATTAACAAGTTAAAATGCGATTTTCACTCCAGTAGGTTTACATTTTACTCAAGAGAAAATATTAAAATGCAGTTATTATTTAAATTTATATATATTTAAAAACGGAATTTTAATGGGATTTCTGATTAATTTGCGATTCAAGCAATCGAGCGACATCCTTCCAACTATTGTCTCGCTCGGTATTGTGAAGACCTCGTATTTCTCAGAGGTGATCGAGCATCTGGCAGCCTCTAAAAGTTCTCAGCCCAAAATTTGTCTGGTAAATTATTTTATATTACTTTGAAAATGGATTCATGACTCAAAAATGGACTCTTGACTCAAATAATCCTACCATGGCTGCAAAACTAATGAAGTTCATTCTTTAAAAATTCAGTTGTGCCTACAAATGTGGATACATTCCACTTTTCTTAATCCCCGGCTTGGTTAGAAGGTTGGTGCATGTTTCCACGCAAGATGATTGGTGCACCAACAAAATCGAAAAAAAAATTTCACAATCTAAACATCACCGTTTGGTAGTTAGGAATGTATATTCATAATTTCGTTCAAATCTGTTCATTAGCTTGGAAGAAATTCCTCAATCACTGCGAATTCGGCCCGCATCGTCATATAACTCACGAATGAAGGCGAAATTTAAAAAAAAATTCACGAGCTAGACATCGCCGTTGGGTACTAATGAATAAGTGTACCAAGTTCTATCGAGTGGCGTTCATTAGTTTGGGAGATATTCACCGACCTGACGCGTCGTTCCTTTGACTCCCCCAGCCCACCCATGTCTTTCTCTCGCCAGCTACAGCTGTTAGCTGAGGCTCAGCTGTTCCGCCCGTCGAAATTTTCGAGGGTACTCTACTAAACTCAACTCAACTCAGTTTTGAAGTTTTCTCCATTCAAAAGGTCAAGTTCTTGCATTTTACAATTGCTGGACAGAAAATAAAAAAGATAGTCGAAAAGCCCTCTACGGTCTCTAAAAAAAATGAAACCAAAGTAGCCCAGCTAGAGACGAAAGTTGGCAAGCTGAGCCTTCAAAAGAGACTGCAAAATGATCTCTCTGAGCGAAGTCCAGACGGTCACCTGTGAACGATGTGAAGATCTCATTTGTATCAGTTGTTCGAAGTTGAGCTCTAAGGAGTACACATTTGTCCATAAATCTAAATTGCTTCATTGGTTTTGCCGTGATTGCGAAAAACCAACTCTTGGTGCTCGAAAAAGCGAGGAGTCGGTGGAAGAGCGCCGCAATGAGTCGAAATCGTTGAATGACGTAGTAAGCTCCTTGAGCGAGATGGTGCGCTTGCTGAGTGACAAATTGAGCTTGCTATGCAATGAGCTGACTGAAGTGAAGGCTCAGCTGAAAAATACGGAAGAATACGGGCGGCTCACTACCTACTATCGAGCCCCAGCATATATCCCGCAGCTACTGCTCATAACATAAGATGTAACAAAAATTAAACCTATTGGATTTTCAAATTCCATAAATGATAGGCGAGCTCAAAGATCTGGTGCAGTGAAAGGAATGAATTATAGCACAGAAATACAGATTCTTTGTTATTCATAGTAATTATCACGAGGTTCACGAGTTTTTATGAAATCTGCTGATTTATTGACACAGGGCAGGGTGGCCTAGTGGTTACAGTTCTGAGTACCAAGATTGGAGCAGAAAGGCGCGGGTTCGACCCCAGCTCTGTGCGCCAGTTTCTGGTCAGAATCTGCGAGGAGGCCGGGCGGTTAAGCAACAGCAGAATTGTAGCAGTGCGTTGCGAGTTCCAGACCGCAAAATGCTGTGAATGTTCTGCGATGTTAAGAATCGGCGACAGGCCTACGGCCAAATAAACGCTGAAACCGCTATTTTTTGGGCAGGGTGGCCCAGTGGTTAAAGTGCAGAGTGCCAAGATTGGCGCAGAGAGGCGCGGGTTCGATCCCAGCTCTGTGCGCCAGTTTCTGGTCAGAATCGGCAAGGAGGCCGGGCGGTTAAGCATAGCAGAATTGTAGCAGTGAGATGCGAGTTCGAGACCGCAAAATGCTGCGAATGTTCTGCGATGTTAAGAATAGGCGACAGGCCTACGGCCTAATAACGCTGAAACCGCTATAATACCAACTTAATTTTGGGAAAATTCTAGATAGTAAATGACGTCTTCAAAATAATAATACGACTTCCTATGGCGCCGGTCATAGACCTATTTTTCACGTCCATGTCCAGCATCATTATCCAAACAAATCATTAATAAGGACAGTGAAAGTAATCGAAGCATCAGATAAACTGACAGCGTCAAATAACAGGCTACTAACTATTTTAAATTAAAAGTTTAGAAGTTAAGTTAGAAACTCAATTGCCTCTCTTTTTTGCGTCTCATTCATCAATATGAACAGCAACTGCAGTCAACGTCAATAGCATATATTTTTACCCTTGGAACTTAGTTAGTATCACCAGTTAGTCGAATCGTTGCATAAAGACCTATAATAATTTCAAGGTTTTTGCATCGTTGACTTTTTTCTTAGCCGGAAACGAGGTGATTATAAGTAATTTCGCAATTTGTATTATACAAAGTTAGTAACGCATTTTGGTCCGCTAGTCAACCTTGAAGGCGTATCAAATAATAGAAGGACAATGCCTAATTAATGCCAGAGTAAAAAAGAATTTGTAATTATCGATGAGCATGAAATCTCAACATTCACAATTGGAAAACGAGTATTTTACCCTAACATAAGCTTCGAATAATGTGAGAGCGAGTGCCAAGAAGTTCATGCACAAAAACTGCCTAATATCAAATGAAGGTGAGCGGTGAGCTCAAAGCTCAATGAAACGCAATCATTATTAGTTATCAATTGAATGAGAGCAAAATTAATATTTTTGCAGCCTGATTGGATAGGGAGTATTATTTGTTTGTACTATATCTCAATAGAATTTAATGAAATCAAGTGCAGAATTATGAAAGTGACCTTACCAAAGGCGGTAAACAAAACTGGAATAAATAATACGTGGTTTTACGATGCTTGAAATGAGACTAATAAACCATTTAAGACAGAGATCACTGTCGTGATGATAATGTTGATGATATCTTAGTTTAGATGGAAGCCCTTTTCTTTAGTGGCTGCGAGGAGACGTTCTCACATAATATCTTCAGATGAGTAGTCTGGCAACTTGAGGTAATGCACACAAGTGTTCACCCTAGGGTATACGTACGTCACCCGCGTCAACCTTAGAAAAACGGATACACATTGAAGATGTAAATACCTCCGACTCTTGCTTCAAATTTACGTTAACATTATGTTGGACTTTCAAATTAATAAATTTAGAGATAAGGAAAAAAAGAGTGCAGCTATCAAGGATTTAAAGCAACGTCAAATTCAAAACCGTTACGTTACGATATTTTAGCAGAATAAAAATTTCGGAATATATTTACAATGCGAAGTACATTTAGGAAATTTGTTGCATACTAAAAGTGTAAAAACCGAATTTCATTTCAAATTTCTATATTCTGAACAAAAATTTGGCTATTTGGCTCATGCTTTTAACAAATTTTAGATATTCCCATTCCAGAGATGTCTTATAAACGAATTTAGCTCCAAATTTTTGGGATTTCACAGTTTGAATATATAGCCTATAGGAACAATTTTTGTCCAATATTTATTACCAAGACACAAGTGACCACTTGTGTCTTTGTAATAGTATTGTGACAGTATTACCATTGAACTTAATGAATCACAAACCACAACGCAACGGATACTCGACTGACGCTACATGAGTCTCACCTTCCTGACGACGGTGAGGCGAGAGTAGAGGAATTGGTAAGGTCGCCAGGAGTAAAGGGTCGAGCTGCCCGTGGTGAACTGCAAGAAAGCTTAACGCTGCTCTCCTGTCAGGCCCACCAGGACGTTTACGAGCCGCAGGAATGCAGGGGATTCGCGCCTGTTGAAAATACATAAAAAATCAGTAATCAACACATGGACACGAGAATGTCTCACTTTCTCGGCACGTTGACCGCGGCAAACTTCCTCTAAGTTTAGCAAATAAATCGATATGTGCATATGATTTTCACAATAGGATTGAGTGTTGGATATGAATAACTTGAAGTCATTCAAGATTCAACTTTAGTTTATTACACTTAAAACTAAAGTGACATGAATATTAAAGAAAGGAACAGTGTGCAGAAATGAAAAGAAATGCTCGAGGGTGCAGACACAAAAAAGACAGACTTCTAGCTTACAAATAAAGGAGTGCGATGTTGTAATAAACCAAATATAATAATAAAATGCTTACGTATATCCGAGTTTTGGGTCTGTGTGCTGGAGGATGTGTTCTCTAGTCCATTGGAGCAACAATCGAACCTCTTCGATCGGGGCTGAATGCTCCCAG